GGGGTCTGCTGGCTGGGGCCTGGCAGGCTTGCACCTGGCACGGGCACCGTAGCCAGACCGTGGCGTTTTAAGGGCTCCGGAGCCAGGAGGGGGGCAGACGAGTTTCCCTGGCTTGGCCCAGAGTGGCCACCAGGCAAGGGTAGATGACCGTTTTGCGGGGCCCCGGGCAGCATAATTCCGCGGGGCCCCCCCTTTGCCACGGCACATGCGCGGTGATGCCATGCGCATGTGCGGTGGCACCATGGCGCATGCACGGGGCTTTCTGAAGCACGGGGCCCGGGGCGGCCGCCCCGTTCACCCTGCCCTATATCCGCCTCTGCCACCAGGGCAAGCTGGGAAGGGCTAGCCTCCAACTATTTCGAATTAAGTGGCTACACAGCCCTTAATTCGAACTAGGCGTTAGTCCTCGTAGAATGAGGTTTACCTAGTTCGAATTAACTTTGTAGTGTAGACATACCCATAGCTACTAAGAGCCATTTTAGCTCTCATTATGCTTTCATGTTAGTTTAATTGCATAAGAAAAATGTAACTTTTTAGTTTTAATGTTATGTTAGCCTATAAAGCAACTTTAGAGTCTCCAATGTTTGACTCCTGCACAAATAAAATCATTTTCATTCATATGAACCTCAGCAGCAGCTAACTTAGAAATGTTCATATCGTTAGACATTTCAGTTTCAAACACAGAGATCAACTTTTTCTGTGTACCCTGGAAAAAACAGTCCTGCAGGAAATGGGCATCATGTGACAATAAAACACTATATAGAAAATACTCTTGTTTCTCAGTTATGAACAAACAGCTGAACAGTCTGTCTTAACTAGACAAGAGGGTGTGTGAAATATTTATAACAAAATTCAAAAGGCTTGAATGTTCATCATCTAGCCATTTTACATTTTCTTGCAAAATTAAAACATTCCTTTGCAATAAACCTGTTTTGAAGAATAAAATGTTTACACTTTGGAAATAAGCAAAATATCATGATTTTGCATATTTTCACAGCTGGCTTATTTTTGTTCAGGAAAATATGAAAATTAGTAATGTGAAAAAAGGCAGAATGAAATTGCCTACAATTGTATTGAAATTATGTGTCATTTTGCACAGGAATTGAGTGTTTGTGTCTACTATTCTGGGGGTGCATTGGAGGCTGTCTATAAGGTAGGGTAATGTGCACTGTAGAGGATGTGAATTCAAAAAAGTACTAATATATTGTGCTCTGATTGGTCCATGTGGACCCAGGGGTGCATACTTAGCATACCCTAATGTGATTTAGCATAATTCTGTTAGAGAACTTTTAGGGTGCACCAGCAGGGTCTACACAGGCCAATTAATGCACAACACATCAGTGTGCTTTAAAAATCACACCCTCCCCAATACCTTTAGAGACAGTACCCTGTTGTATAGACAAATCTTGAGCACCGTCTTATATTTGGCAGCATTAAGCATACTTGGCATGCTGTAAATAGGCAGAGTAAAGCAACCTAGCCTTGGGGAACAGAGCAACCATTGGGAGCTGATATGTAATTATGGTAACTGAGTATGCATAACAATTAGTGAAAACACTAAATACAAATATTATGTACATAAAACAGACTATTGTACATATCCATGTTTTTTCACTGAAATCTGTCCCAATGTTTGATGTTGTCCTCATGCAGGATGGATGGTCCCAGTATCACTTTGTAGCCTCATCTTCAACAATAGAGAGGGATCGGCAAAGACCATACTCTTCATCACGCACACCCTCCATCTCGCCAGTGCGCATGTCTCCTAATAATCGCTCAGGTAAGACTTCCAGAACTGAAGTAAACAGAGAAGTACTCTAGTAATGTCATCTTTCCATTGTTAAGCACTGTCAGTGACATCTAGATGTATTAATAACCATGTTGGGAGCATATGGGAAACATTTTTTATTCTTATCAAGGTATCTTTGTATATGGGAATATTTTTATTTGTGTGAATGTCTTTTAGAAATTTTAAGCAAACACGTGATTCTGGATACATTTCCATTCACTATTTTCTTTGTCCACTGGCCAGTTAAAATTATCTGATTGGGAAAGTGAACGTTTTAAGGGCCGTTGTGCATTTCCTTTAGCATTAGGGAAATCCCCCTCTCAGATGCTACCAAGTAATTTGCTTTCCTACTCACAGAAACCACTAATTCATTTGCTATGTATGTTTAATAGTCTTAGCCAGATCTTCAGCTAGTGTAAATCATCACAGTTCCACCTCAGCCAATGGGTCTGCACACCAGTGATCATCAGCTGAGTACCTGGTAATGGATGTTTCTGCAGCAGGATTGACTGGAGCATGGTGCTCTGGTGGTGATTGGCTGGGCCTGGGCCCCAAACAATTTCTGCCTTTGCCCTCTCCCTGTCAGCGAGCCTACATGTCCCTACCTTAGTCATCTCTTTTCTAAACTGAACTCATATCCAAGCTGTAGAGAGTTACTAGGATGGCAACAGTAAGATATGTCTGGCTGAACTATTTACACCTTTAGTGCAGAAGCAATTGCTTTGTAATGTTTGTTACTCAGCAGGAGTCTAGTCCTAATCTGCAATGTGCTGAGCTGTTTTGAAAATCTGACCAGAAGTGTCCCCCTAGGGTACTAAGCACTTTCAAAAATCTCCTTTTCTTTCAGGCTCTTAGATGGGTGCCCTTGTAAAAATCTCACCCTGATTATGAGTGTTGAGCACTTGAAAAATTTGGCCCTGAGCTTTTGGTGAACACTTGTCTCAAAATATCTCCCACTTTCCAGTTTGTACAGTTCAAGGAGGGAATCTAACTGTATCTAGTACATAGGACTCTTGAAAATGCAAATGAAGCACGGGTTTACAAATCTTGCACTTCATTTGCATAATCTTGTGAGAGCACTTTTTCAAAAAAGGGTTTTTCAAAAAAGAAACCAGATTCTTAAAAAAAAAACCCCCCTTTTTCAAAAATGAAGTGTACAAATGAGGCGTACGGGTTCTTTTGAAAAAGGGGGGGGGTTCTGGAGTACGGGTTCTTTTGAAAAAAGGGGGGGGGTTCAAAAGAACCCCATCTCGACTGTGGTTTCTTTTTCAAAAAACTCTTTTTCGAAAAAGCGTGCTCACACCATTATGTTTTTCAAAAAACTCTTTTTCGAAAAAGCGCGCTCACACCATTATGTAAATGAAGCACGAGATTTATAAATCTCGTGCTTCAATCAGGCTCATTTACATTCCTCTTTTGGAAGAGGAATGTAGTTTAGACGTGCCCTAAGTGAGCACAAAGATCCCAGCTAATATCCTCCGATTATATAATACTTCATCACTCATTACGTTTCTTACTTTAATTTTCTTTACTTTTAGTGCCCTTGAAACAGTCCAATTTTTTTTCTGTCTAAATCTATAATAATTTTGGATAAACTCTTGGAATGAAAGCCTGGCCATATTAAAGTCAATATGGAGTGTTGTCATTTACTTCAGTGGAGACAAGATTTCTGGTTTTTAATTTTTCCTCACAATTTTGAAAACTTTAGAACTAAACTCTAGGTATACCCCACTTCCAATTCTCACCCCATCAGCTGAGAAACATAAGCCAGGATTCTCTCTAATGTGCATTTATTTTGTAAGGGCCAAAGCTTTTGCCTTTCTCTTCATCTATTTAAGCATGTGTTATGAGATGAAATATAATCCTTCCTCTGAAATTGCAATCTTGGAGAAAATGTATTTTGATAACAGAGTGTGTTCACTAGGCATAGGTGCTGCTCAAATGCTATCCTTGCATTTGCCCTCTCTCCTGGTCCTGGAAGAGGAGCCTAATTCTGTTCTCATCTCCCTCCCAAAACAGGATGGCTGTGTCTACACTGGGCCACTTATTCCGGAAAATCAGCCGCTTTTCCGGAATAAGCTGCGAGCTGTCTACACTGGCCCTTGAATTTCCGGAAAAGCAACGATACTCTACTGTACAAAATCAGCCGCTATTCCGGAAAAAATATTCTGCTCCCGCTCGGGCATAAGTCCTT